TTATTGAGACATTTAGAAATGCCTGTATTCGCTTTTTGTATGTTTCTGCGCATTGGCACCATGCACTTGATGCATACAAAATTATTGGAAGTAGAATGGTTCTTATTAGGCGCAGCTTCAACTCTAGAGCCATGTTGCTTCTTGTAGTATAAATACTTAGAGTAGTCTCAATGACGAAGTACCTAGGTCGGCGGTTAGTCGGCGGTGATAATATGTCAGTGAGTTGTCATGTCACGTTTGAACTGTATGTCTATTTATTTTTGATATCAGTTTGTAATTAAGCATAAATACCTAATAGTCTGGTATTAGTCTATACAACAGTCTGTATAATACACAACACTTCTGTGGCCTATTAGAGGCTGTAGGTTTTGCCTTGCGGCTTTACCCAGGTTTAGTCGTGTTGTAATGTGTTGTCTGAAAGTGAGTTTGTTATCTAGGGTTACCCCTAGATATTTTGCCTCGTCTGCCCATGGTATCTGTATGTCGTTTAGTATTACGTGTCCTGTAGGTTTGGTACGTCGTCTAGTGAAGAGAACAGCTTGGCTTTTCTCTGCGTTAATTTCTATCTTCCAGTTATTGACCAGGTTTCTAGTGTGTCGATTTGTTCTTGTAGGTCATGTCTGCGTTACTGGATCTGGCAAGGCTGTGTCGTCGGCGTATAGTGCGAGTTTGTTGAAGTTGTTCGCGGGTTTAGGGATATCTGCGGTAAAAATGGAGAAAAGTAGTGGTGAAAGGACCGCACCTTGCGGTACTCCTGCTTATAGCTCCCTCTCTGCAGAGATTTCGTTGCCAACTTTACATTGGCATCGCCTTCCCCGCAGAAAGGAGGCTATTAGCTTAATAATAATAATAATAATAATAATAATGGATTTTATTGACAGGTATAGGTAAATACAAAATAAATGAAAAATGATAGAGAGCTGAGAACTGTATACCTATCGAACGGCAGAATTCAAGATCAGATCATTTCACCAGTGAGAGTGACGTAATCAGAACTTGCTCTTCCATTCAACCGAGGGAAAAAAATAATTATCGCTATGTTATACATAAACCTATAAGTAACCAAATATAAAGTAATTTAAATTTACACATGAACATTTCAAATATAAGTCATCATAAAGCTGGATGCAAACCTATAAAAAGAAAGAAAAAATAATACATCATAGTAACTGAGGCAAAGAGTTATGGAGTAGGTCAGATTTCAGTTTTTTCCTGAAATTTGGAATCGATAATGTTTTCATTGAATTCGGGAGTCGATTGTAAAGCCAGGCGATATTATAGGAGAAAGAGCCACGATAAAGAGTAGTTTTATGAGGTGGTATTGAGAGATCATTTCTGAATCTGAGATTTAAATTATAAATGTCAGTTCTATAGCAAATTTTATCGTGGAGATAAGAAGGTGTTTTTGTAGTGATAATTTTATGGTAGAGAATACAAGCATGAAATACACGTCGGGCCTCCATATTTAACCATTCTAAATTATTTAGTTGGTGAGTTACATGCTGTCGCCTTCTGGTCCCAGTGATAAGCCTTAAGCATGAATTCTGTAAGGTCTGTAATCTTTTCCTGTCGGCTTGAAGTAAGTTGGGACCGTATACAATATCAGCATAATTGGCATGCGATAGAACCAACGAATTACATAAGATTTTCTTGGAATTTTGGTTTAATATTTTTCTATTAGAGTATATCATTTTCAAATTGCACTATCCACGCTTTATTATTTGGGACACATGTGATGAGAATCTGAGAGAATGTTCCATAATGGGACCAAGGTTTGTTGAACGATCTGTAAGAGGTAGTTGTAGATTATCAAAATTGATAATGATATTACTCTCGTTTCTTCTTCTCATTGCAGTTCGGCCAAATAGCATCATAACTGTTTTTGATGGATTAACTGTTAGGCAGTATTTTTTTGAGGTTTCGATCAAAGAATTCAAATCATGATTGATCTGCTGACATGCAACTTGCACTGAATTTTCCGAGAATTGTTTGTAAATCTGAGTATCATCAGCGTAGCTATGAATACGCGTGTGTCGGAGACACTTAGGAAACTGAGACGTGTAGATCACGAATAAGATAGGTCCGAGAATTGATCCCTGTGGTACGCCAAATGTTAGTAGATAGTGAATCACAAGTTGAGATAGGGACATGGGAGTCGTTTTGACCAATAATGATTAGTTTCGACACAAAAAAATGTTAAAGTTGAAAAATCTCGATTTTGAATACTTTATATCCCTGAAACCATTACAGCTAGACCCCAAGTGTGATGCATTGATGAAATCAGATTTTCGGGGAGAATCTAAAAATGCAATAAAATACAAGGTGTTCCATTTGAAATAACAAAGTTGTTGCTTCTTTTCTTTAGAAGCGGCAACGCCGCAGGGCTGAAAATATTTTAGAAAGATGTCCCCCTCGAAAATGTAGTTGACCTGTTTCAGTTTTTTTTGATAATCCGGTTTTGGCGACCTACAGAGCCTCTGTTTCGTTTTCAAAGGCCCACTGTATGTAGGGTGTTCCATTGAAAAAAAAAACAAAGTTATTGTTCTTTCCGGAAAAACTAATGACCCTGTATATAAAGCAACTTTTTGAGTTTGGGTCGTATCCAACAACTTTTTCACATAACATTTTCTAACATCTCTGAAAACGAAAGAGTTAAGGAGTGGTTTCATTTTAAGAGTTGCACCCTGTACTAGAAAAAGCATGTTAGCTGGGCTGATTAGGAGACAAATCAAAATGTATTATTTTACAAGTTGCTGATACCAAGTACCTATACGTACATTCTACGGGGTAATTCATTGAGAATGAGCAAACTCTGAACTACAAGTAAACATCGATACATAATGGCGTTGGAAATGTAGGGCGTTGAAGGAAGATTTTACATCGAAATTTTTCAATTACTTTGTAAGTTTCAATATAATGAACATACAATTTTGTGATGTCAGGTTTTCCGACATGAGAAATACGAATTTGTATCTCATTTTGTGATTGCTCAAAGAGGGCGCTATAGTGGCATTCTGTTACTTCAGTAAATTACATCATATCCGTCTTGTCGCTCTTGAAAAGATATGCGTTCCACTTATGAAGTTAGCGAAGTGACACTGAAAAAAATACGATAACTGATAACTGAACACCAACAACGAACAACATTTCAAAGTAAATATTCGACCAAACTTATATTCTTATTCAATCTCCCTGTATATTGCTGTATGATAAATATTAGAAGAATCGAACAGATGTCCAAATATTGAAACTTGATAATATTAATATTGATGAATTCGAAATGTACATGAGTGAAAAATACTCCCACAAAATGATCAATAACAGCAGTAACACGACGCTTTCAGAAACATTATTGTTTTGCCTACAATAGGTTCTGAAACATATCATATTCCGTAGGATTTCAATTACTTATGCGAATTCAATCCTGCGAAGGACGAACATTTGATTTGAAGCTACTGATACTATGTACAACATGTCATTTTTAAAGGATTTTGTGGGTATCCAAATGGTTTTGTGAAGTTTCAACAACTTAATAGTATGTATTGTACGTCATGGTCATCTTCTTTACAGCGTCATTTCTAACCGTTTATCATCAGTATCTATAATAGAAACACAAATTCGTGGAGTCAACCTGAATTATAATTTATTATTGATATATTGATCCATTGATATGGAGATCCATTTCGACATCAAAGTTTATCTTTCCAGTATTATTATTGGTCCCTGGTCGTGGGGTCGTCCAATTCCAACTATCTGTGGTCTGATTCCAACTAGGCGTAGTCCAATTCCATTGAGGCGTGGTCCAATTCCAATGAGGCGTTGTCCTATTCCAACTAGGCGTTGTCCAATTCCATTGAGGTGTGGTCCAATTCCAGGTTGGAGTAGTCCAGTTCCAACTGGGAGTAGTCCAATTCCAGATTGAGGTAGTTGTATTCCAGTTTGTAGTAGACCGATTCCATATGTCTGTTGTAGTTTTCCAACTAGGTGTAGTCCAGTTCCAACTGGGAGTAGTCCAATTCCAGCTTGAGGTAGTTCTATTCCAGTTTGGAGTTGACCGATTCCAGATATCTGTTGTGGTATTCCAACTAGGTGTAGTCCAGTTCCAACTGGGAGTAGTCCAATTCCAGCTTGAGGTAGTTCTATTCCAGTTTGGAGTCGACTGATTCCAGATATCTGTTGTGGTATTCCAACTAGGTGTAGTCCAGTTCCAACTGGGAGTAGTCCAATTCCAGCTTGAGGTAGTTGTATTCCAGTTTGAAGTTGATCGATTCCAGATATCTGTTGTGGTATTCCAACTAGGTGTAGTCCAGTTCCAACTGGGAGTAGTCCAATTCCAGCTTGAGGTAGTTCTATTCCAGTTTGGAGTCGATCGATTCCAGATATCTGTTGTGGTATTCCAACTAGGTGTAGTCCAGTTCCAACTGGGAGTAGTCCAATTCCAGCTTGAGGTAGTTGTATTCCAGTTTGAAGTTGACCGATTCCAGATATCTGTTGTGGTATTCCAACTAGGTGTAGTCCAGTTCCAACTGGGAGTAGTCCAATTCCAGCTTGAGGTAGTTCTATTCCAGTTTGGAGTCGACTGATTCCTGATATCTGTTGTGGTATTCCAACTAGGTGTAGTCCAGTTCCAACTTGGAGTAGTCCAATTCCAGCTTGAGGTAGTTTTATTCCAGTTTGGAGTTGACCGATTCCAGATATCTGTTGTGGTATTCCAACTAGGTGTAGTCCAGTTCCAACTGGGAGTAGTCCAATTCCAGCCTGCGGTAGTTGTATTCCAGTTTGGAGTTGACCGATTCCAGATATCTGTTGTGGTATTCCAACTAGGTGTAGTCGAGTTCCAACTGGGAGTAGTCCAATTCCAGCTTGAGGTAGTTCTATTCCAGTTTGGAGTCGACTGATTCCAGATATCTGTTGTGGTATTCCAATTAGGTGTAGTCCAGTTCCAACTGGGAGTAGTCCAATTCCAGCTTGAGGTAGTTCTATTCCAGTTTGGAGTCGACCGATTCCAGTTATCTGTTGTGGTATTCCAACTAGGTGTTGTCCAGTTCCAACTGGGAGTAGTCCAATTCCAGCTTGAGGTAGTTGTATTCCAGTTTGGAGTCGACCGATTCCAGTTATCTGTTGTGGTATTCCAACTAGGTGTTGTCCAGTTCCAACTGGGAGTAGTCCAATTCCAGCTTGAGGTAGTTGTATTCCAGTTTGGAGTCGACCGATTCCAGTTATCTGTTGTGGTATTCCAACTAGGTGTTGTCCAGTTCCAACTGGGAGTAGTCCAATTCCAGCTTGAGGTAGTTGTATTCCAGTTTGGAGTCGACTGATTCCAGAAATCTGTTGTGGTATTCCAACTAGGTGTAGTCCAGTTCCAACTGGGAGTAGTCCTATCCCAACTTGGAACAGTCGAATTAGACTTAATGTGCAGTTTTCCTACATGGTTACTAGAATCATCAGAAACTGGTGCGATACTCTCCACACTCCTAACCTGAAATAATATAATAATTAACCAAAAATTCTTCCAACATAATTGAAAATTCACGTATGGGGATTGAGATAAGATACACGAATATAAATGATGCTAGCTAAAATGTTCCTAAATGCCGAATTCTGACCATAATCACATTCACAGGATCTGAAAAGTGATCAAGATCACCTCTTCTCCTCTACGGGTATACTCCGTTAAATCAATATTATCGTTCTGAGAAGTGACCTAATCCTTCAATATCTTCACAGGCATTCTTTGTTGTATGTTTGTATTATATCACCAATAGACTCTCTTAGGATAAGTACTGAGATTCCTGAGTATTAATGCTAGGGGGTAGTGTGAACAAGGAATCCTTGAGAAAGCAAAGGAAGACGGGGCACAATATGGTTGGCACATTTGTTATCATAACAATAGAGAATTTTCGTATTCCTCTCCAGATTGAAAACAAAAATTCCATGTGTTGAAACATTTCAAGTAAGTTCTTCATACTCATACACAGGGTTGGCACGAATAAATTCATATGATTTGAGTCAGTGATTCAATTCATGTTATTTCTAAAAAAGTCTTGAATTATTTCAAACTTTCAACCAATCACATTATATTACCTTCAACTAGTTTAAACTGAAAATGAAACTGAAATACTATGGCATTATGGCAACTTGACCATTATTTTTCATTGCATGCAAATTGATTGCTACAGATCATATTTCCGGCAATAATATGGAATGTCCGACTTCCAATGTCTTCTTGTCAAAAAAATCTATGTTCTACTCGAGGTTTCACTTCTGATTGTGTTAGAAGTAACCATTCAATATGCATCTAATGATACGAATAATGCATAAAATATCGAAAATCCATCATCATATCACTTATAATTACAGGAGATCTTTTTTTGTCGAAGTAAACTTGACATCTTAATGAGAATTTTGATGCCTGGCAATTATACGAGAAAAAAAAAATTGTTGTCCAATATGACACTATAGTGGGAATTGATGTAATTTTTTAGAAAATTGCGAACTTTAGTAGTTCTAATGAAGATTCTGAATAAGTCATAAGTTGCATACATGCATTTATTGATTTTTTTCAATCAAAAGTTCCAGTTTGTTTCGCAAAAATTGCCTATTTTGTTATGTTATGCTTCTTTCTTTTATAACATTTTTGTATTTTGTTCACGTAAATAAAAATTCATTTTTGTTCAAATAAATTAATTCAAAAAAGTCCAAATTAATTCGTAAAGTCGGACTCTTATTACTTTTTTATAAAATTCATGACTCATTCCAACCCTGCACACACATACAGGATGCAAAATAAATGGTTTATGCAATGATGAAGTCATAAAGTATAGAGCTCGATTTATTGATACCTATCATTTGAATTTGTGTACGAACTGGAAACTTAAGAAGTGCCTAAATCTTTCGATCCATTTCCATCACGTGATATGTTGAGTTCGTGTATTTTTATGATTATTTTTCGCAATAAAATTGTGGAGGCTGAGTTTGCTCAGAGAGTTTTATTCTGGTCCACTAAAAGCATGGCGACGACCGATTTTCAAAAACAAAAATTTCATAATATACTACTCAACGAGCGCTATTCGGAAATGAGAACAAATGTGGAATATTAGCATTTTCAAGGCCTACTTGATTATTGAAAGGGTTAAAATTACGAAAACGACTATATATATTAGGCATTTTTCTTCGAAACAGTGACTAGCCAATTCAATTCAGTCATAGCTGAACTATTTCCATACGAAATTTCATCATATAGGGTATTAGTTATTCAATGGCAAATTTTGATATTTTTGATTTTTCTTTTCGATTTACCCTGTATCAAAATCGGAAGAGTTGATGAAACCGGTGAAGTAGTCATTTAATGATGGAACAAACACACCGAATAATCAGAAACAAAATTTCATCGTTGTAACTTCTAAAGGAAGATCTCTCTATAGGTCTACCAAAAATCAATTAAACTAAAAGTTGAGGTTCACCATTTCAATACAGTAATTTCGGAAATCGTCTGAATTGATAAAGACCTGTCGAATATAACACAAATATAATGACAGACAAACACCCTCTATAAAGACTGCAAGGAGATATACTGATGCTTGATGTATTGATTGAAATAAAATGAAAATTCGAGATTACAGATTACAGATCTTCCTGTAGAAGTTATAACGAAGAAACTTCGTATCTAAGTATTCCACGTGCTCCTGTATCGAATGACTACTTCACCAGTTATATCAACCCCTTAGATTTCAATACAGGGTGGATCGGAAAATCAAAAATATCAAAATTTGACATTGAATATCTAACTCCCTATATGAGATTTTGCGTTCAAATTCCGTATGGAGGTATTTCAGCTATGCCTAAATCAAATACGCTAGTCACTGTTTCGAAAATGAATTGCATAATAGTCGTTTTAGAAATTTTTACCATTTCAACAAGCGAAAGTAGGCCTTGAAAATCTGAATATTTCAGGTTTGTTCACATTTTTGAGGAGAGCTCGTTGAGTTATATATTATGGAATTTTTGTTTTTGAAAATCGGTAGACGGGTTCCATATTAAGAGAGTGTTGCGGTTGAGATGACCCAGTGGAAAAAATCATAATAATAAGGAGAAATGTAAGTGAGGGTAAATATGCCAGAGGAACAGAGCTAATTGAAAGATTATGGACAACTTCACCTCTGAATTCAGGATATTATGTAGAAGCAGCAAGGTGAGATTCAATGTAGTTCTTGGTCATGGATATTGAACTTCTGTTCAATTTCAACACTACAGAAAATGAATATGGATAAATGATTGAGATCTAAATTATATAGGTCCATGGTCCATGTAACTGATGAAAAAAAGTTGGGGTTATGGTGTTTACCTATCGAGAAATTTTTCTCTGAACTTTATAAGATATCCCTTTTCGTGGGAACCAGAAAATAAAAAAAATTTCGTTTGCGTTCAAAAATGTCCCTAACTTTTTGGAAATCAGATTATTTTCCAAATTCAGGCAAAATACCAGATGCGAGCAACTTACCCAGATAGAAGATACGGCTATGCACAAAATAATCAGATTCACTAGTTGAAATCCCATATCTAATGTTCTGACTACTCTGATTCCTATTATATTGTGATGATCCTTTTATACCAATTATTATTATCGGTTAATCAGTCATTAGAGGAAATACGATATTGAGTGGATCTATTTTATCTTCTTGTCTGAGACTCGTCAGCTAATAAACAGGATATAGATGCGTGGAATAAATGATTGAATGATAAGACAGGTAGTATTGAAAATTCTAATCGATTTATTTTTTTAGAACATAGATAGGATGGTGATTCCTGTAAAATTATTATGCACAGAAGCAACAGTATAAAATTGATGCATGGTACTCCATTTTGATGCCAAATCATTTATTTATTCATTCATTTATTTGTTCATTTATTTATTCATTTATTCATTTATTTATTTATTTATTTATTCATTTATTTATTCATTTATTTATTCATTCATTTATTCATTTATTCACCCAAACAGGCCCATTGGCCTAATTACATGGGTTACATAATAATTACCCATCTAAAGTGGCTAATTAAAACTAACAATAGTCAATTCAAGTAAGTATAAGATAATATACCTTATCATTACAAATTAGGTTCCATAACAGAAAACCGGGAAACAAAGGAAAAAATGTGTACCCTCCCCCATCCAAATTACCGATGCAAATTCAATCTTTGGTCTTACAAAAGTATAGTACAATATTTTAACGGTATGGACATTTTTAAATCAAGAAGTTTGCCTTATAATATGTCCTAGGACACGGTTAGCAGACTTACGGCCGTGTTCCAAATGATCGGAAAAAGAAAAAACGCTATTATCCCTAATAACACAATTATGTCCAATGGACATTCAGGACGTCCATAGGATGTTCGAATCTGGTACCGTGGACGTCCATTGGACGTCTGTGGGACGCACAAATGTCCCACTTGAGGACCAACTAGGGACGTCCCTGAGTGATGTCCCTGGGACAACTATCGAATATCTAAATCATACAGTATTCCTCATCAAGCACTACGGAGGACATCCTTAGGACATCCGTAGGACAACTTATCAGCAACGCTGGGGGATATCAATTGGATGTCCACAGGATGTCCCCAGGGACGTACGAATTATTCTTGAATTTGATTTCTTTTGGGTCCCTCTAGGACCAGATCTTGCATTGCTGATGGGGACATCCAGTTGAGTTGATGGTCCGTAGAAGGTGCCCAATAGATCCTGAAAAAGTTTCCCAAGGATGTCCAATGGACTCACGTGAAGGACATTGACGGGGGGTATTTATAGTCTACGAGCAATCATTCGTCGGCGAGGTGTAAGTAAACGTCCTCGCAGGGACAACATATTGAAAGTACCGACTGGAACGTCCGTAGGACGTGATTTCTAGGACATTGGAAGAGTACAGTTCATGTACCAATTGGGACATCCGACGGATATCCCTAAGGATGTCCCTTACGGACATTTCGATTGTTATACGATCCTGGAGATATTAAGTGCGTCTGTGCAGAGATATTTGAAGGAATGTACAATCAGGGACATTTCATGGTTGTCTATAGAAGGGACATTATATAAGATCTGAAGTTATGCCCGAATATGTACTACTCGGTACATCTGATGGATGTCTCTAAAGGAACGTTTATAATCATATCCCATCAGGGACATGTTAAGGACGTCCTTGCATGGACATTCTACAATATGTTCCACGTGGGACGTCTAAGGGATGCTATTTCTAGGACATTTGAAATGATGTACAGTCGTATTCAATAAAAAAGCGTACAAGTATCAAAAAGAGAGGTTAACGATATCCTAGTTTTAATTTTGTGAAACTGACTCAGCCAATGCTTTGGGTTTTTGGGTGCCTACGAGAACTTCACTGTCAACATTTGGTAAACAATTATTCCCGATAGCCCTTTTTACGCCAATAGGATGTCGTTAATGTTTCTCTGTAATATACTTGTACGCTTTCTTATTGAATACGACTGTACCTGCTGGGATATTCCGCTCGGACAGTGCATGAGATGTACGGGATGGGACGTCCCAAGGACATTCTTGGTCCGGGACATTCGGATTTGAATTGTACCAAATAGGGACGTCCCTAGGACGTTGTGTGCTATTAGGGATATAGTTTACACCGAGATCCCGCATCTCCTTTTTTCTTTCCAAAGTTTCTCCATTCATTTCATATTAAAAAAATACTGGATCTTTTGTTCTAGTTATCGTTATAATACCACATCCATTTAAGTTGAAATTTAATCTATTTTCATTACTCCATTCAAATATGCTATCTAGATATTTTTGCCACTCCACACAGTCCCTTACCATCGTTGATAAATATTGTTAACAATAATGGTCCCAAATTGGAACAATGCGGTACTCCATAATTTGCCCCAAACTTTCTCGATAGAGTACCATTATGTCTTACAAAACAATTTCTGTTTTTCAGATAATTTTCCATCAATCCCAATATATTCCTTGCCAGTCCATATTTACCTAACTTTTGTAGCAATATATCATGGTCCACTTTATGCGAATGTCCGTAAAAACAGTGTCTAACCCTTGGTCTAACTGTACATTTTGTTCATTGTTATCCATATTGTTATGGGAATGGAAATGCTATTCACGTCGGAGCTATAGCGCTCCTTCCCCCGCAATCCTATCTCTTCGAGTGGATCTCCTCGGCCGTTTGAGCTCTGCGTTTAGCACGCTCGGATAAGTATTTGTCATGCTATGTTTTAATTAAGCGCATATTTCGCGACAAGGAGCAAGTCTGGCTCAAAGCGAGCTTGCCTTGTAGAGGCGCACGCCAAGGGTCGTGGAACAACAAACTATGCGACGAACATCAAACGGCGCCCGGTGAAAAACGAGAACAGAATTTACGTTGCTACCTCTACACGAAACCCACCTGCCTACTGTTTATTTTTTCCTCCACCCTGAATATTTAACATGTCTAGAACGTTTGCGGTTACGTAGTCTGAGAGCCGGTGATGGATTTATGCACGACAACACGAAAGTGACAACAATCAGGACAATCACTTTTAAACACTCTGGCTGCCACGATCCTGTTTTTCTCTCTCTATTACAGGCTTTGTCAGTCATATGTGACCGACGGTGACTTATAAAAAACGGTCCTTAGCAGTGATTAACCGACAGCAGCAGTGCCGGAATAGCTAAGTAGCAAGAAGTAGCAAATGCTTCGGGCCCCATGAATTGGGGGGCCCCGCGCTCCATCGCCTGGCCGGCTTTACTGTAAAAAAATGCATCAGATCTGTACGACTGTGAAGAATACTATCAACAATACCTAAACATAGGGACGAATCAAGCGATATACAATCAAAGTACGACCACTTCAGCGGCTCTCTACTACACTCGACGACTTTGTTGAAAATCAAACACCTGGACAACGTTTTGAAGTTCAGGTATTCATTTCCATTATTGATAACGTACTGTCTGCTTCAACTAAACGTTCGAAAGCATTTCATAAAATTACTAGTGTATTTAGAGTATTTTGACAGCGAAAGAGATTTTGGAAGAATCCTCAATAATGGTCAGTGCTCACACAGATGATTTGGAAACCATCAGCCTTGGCGACGAATTAGTGTAGATCGTTGAGCTGCTCGAAACGGATGTGGGTACTGTCATTCAGAGCACCAAACAGGAGCCTCTGGAACTACAGTTTTAAAAACTTTCATTGAATAATTCTTCAGAATCATGTTTCCCAAACATAGAAGTTGCCTTGCGAATTTACGTGTACCTCATGATCGCTAACTGTAGTGGCGAACCTTTTCTTTTTTTAGTATCAAAACGTATTAAAAATGAGTTAAGGAACACGATGGGCCAAGAACGTCTCAATCATCTCACTTTGATAAATATAGAGCATGATTTGCTTATAGAAGAAGTCGATATTGAAACTGGTATCTCTGAATTTGCCCATATAGGTATATCCAGAGGAGTTTATTTGTAATAGTTCCGTTTTATTTTATTCAATACTCTGAACTTGATAACCTGAAGCAAACCAAGGGCCCCGCGCTGGCATAATCCGGCACTGGACAGACAGCAGTTTTCAGTTCGAGCCGTGTCATGCGAAAACGATCGACGATGCATTCAAATCTCCATTAGATCTGAATTTGCGGCGCTCAAATGAAAGGAATCTCTAGACAGCCTTCTCAATGCGTCCACACTCTCTTCACCTCATTTTTAGCCCCCTTTCTTGTACATATTGTTTCAGGAGATTTTTGTAACAAATTGAACGATTTTTCTAGCTTTCGGTGTTTTATCCTTCTGCTGTTATAGCAAATGTTCCAACCCCTGTGAGTTTATCGATAAATTAATAACTTATAGGAGTATATCATGCACTTTTACTCATATAAACTGGGCGTCAATTGAAACGTTAATAGTGAAATTTGGCATCAAGTTTGACTTCTTGTAATTTCTAAAATATTGAACGAATTTTGAATTGCCGCCCAGATTCTGAATGCCTTTTTCATCGTCTTTCGAACCGTTCCTTACAGCTTCTTCTAAATTGATCAGGATCCATGATACAGGGTGAAACAAAGTTACGTGCATTTTGAAAAAAATTTCTCCGCCCTCCCATTTTGTCGGAAGACCACGATGCTCATATTTTATTCAGGCATTTCATAAATAGCAACCATACCTCGGGACATTTTCGAGTTTTTGCCAAAAACTACTGTGGTTTCCGAAAAAAAAATTTTTTTAGCATTTTTTTTTAATGGACTAATTACCTGTAACCAAAACGATGAATCAGTCTCTTCATTGTCATGATAGTTTATATCACTATAGTGATCTTACCTAATGATATTTTCCATTTCGACCCGATTTGACCGAGGCATCTTTAAATTTTTTAGGACCCGAATTACACTGACGTTTTCATGAAAATTGGCAATTGATATAACCTCTATGCATACCTACATTGTTTCAACAATACGCTGTTATAAAAACAAGGTATCCTTGTTTGTATTTGTGATGAGAAGTGTTGATTTACTGCTCACTAAGGTAGAAAACTTTCATCATAGACTGCAAAG